CCTAGTGTAAGTGTCATCAGTATAGTTTAATTGGAAATGAATAATATTTTGTTGTAACTTCAAGGCGATGAGGACATTTTTTGTTTGTTTTATGGACATTATTTATTCACGTTGTGAAATATTTATTTTGTAAAAATTAAGTTTCGTTATTTTGATTTTATCACTCTTATCGCGAGACTTGCGCTGTGGTCAGGTGGTTTTTGCCCAGACACGTACACACTCCAACGCAAGACATACGAAGAGCAGCAGCTATTAGGACTGTTGGCTCGTTGTTGAAGGTAAATTGTGATTTATTTGGCTGTGTAAATGTAACTAAATGTAAGACCTGATTGTAATTGTGATATTTTGTCATGTAGAAACCAAAAGTGTATTTTTTTTCTTGCCGAAGACCTCCGAAGTGGCAGGCGGCAATGAGGTTAGCTTTAGCCCACATTTTTGTATTAGCCTCGTATATTGTTTCTCGATTGTAAATTGCTGATTGTATTTTATTTTACCAACAGTTTTCACGGTGTTGGTGTACAAAGGACACCTGAAAGACACAATTAAACACCCGTCATTTGGAAACGGTGCCCTGGTTTTGTTACTTTGGAGCTACACCTAGAATGGCGGGGGTTTCTCATGTTCGCAAATGATCTGGCCACGGAGAAAATGAGAGCTGTCAAGGTAAAGGAATTACCATATTTTCCGCACTATAGGGCGCACCAAAAAGTCTTCCATTTTCTTAAAAGCTCACCGAGCGCCTTAAAATCCGGTGCGTCTTTTGTCTGGTCATTATGGTAATATGTTGACTCCAAGATGGCTCCTTCCCGGAGACATGCTTCCAATGTTATAACTTGCTGTCTGTTCAGTGAACTGTGTCGCTGCTTTATTAAATAAGTTTGTGTTGCAGCTCCGAAAAAAGGAGAGCTGTGGTGTTCATTTTTTAAAACAGTCTGAACAAATACAGGTACGTCTTTGTCTGTCTCCGTGCCTTCTTCCGTTCGACTCGAGAGGCGTTCAAGACCGCCTCCGAAAAATGTAAACCAACGATTACTTCAATGAAACTACAAAAATTGAAAATAATACATCAAAACTGAAAAGCAAGCGAGGATATCACAAAATCAATTCTGTAGCCCCCCCTACAGATTTTATTTTGTGATTTCATCATTTGTGAATACACAACAAAGGAATAAATAACTACGACTGACATCTTGCTATTTTGACTTCAAGATGGCGCCGCGAGAGTGGCTGGCCTCTGCCCAGCTCTTATATTTTGTTCTTCTACTTCTTCCATTCATAACGTTGCTGCTGTGAATTGGGAATTTCTCCATTGTGAGACTAATAAAGCTTTTCTTATCTTATCTTATCTTATTGCATAGTCGCTTACGTGTTGAAAGTCAAACGGACTGGATTGTTACGTGAGCGATCACGTTCGCCGCATGTCCAACGGCCGGGTAAAAAGGGGAAAGAAAAGGAGGGAAGGAGACGGACAAAGACGCACCTGTATTTGTTGAAAAAATGAGCGCTGTGGTTGTGGTTTTATTTTTTTAAAACACAGACTTGATGAATGGTTTTCACAGTCTGAACAAATACAGGTATTGTACGTATTTGTCAGTCTCCGTGGCTTCTTCTGTTCCACTCGAAAGGCGTTCATGGCCGCCTCCGAAAAATGCAAATTAATTCTTACCTCAATGAAACCACGAAGAAAATCAGCGAGGAAATCACAAAATAAATTCTGTAGGGGGGAATATAGAATTTATTTTGTGATTTCCTCGCTTGATTTTCTGTTTTGATGCATTATTTTCAATTTTCGTAGTTTCATTTAAGTACAGTATTACATTTTCAGAGGCGGTCATGAACGCCTCACAAGTTGAACTGATGCCTCTCGAGTTGAATGGAAGGAGCGTTGCACCATCTAGTGGAGGCATTGTAGATTGCGCCTTTTAATGCGAAGCGTCTAATGTATGAAAAAAATTTACAAAATAGCCATTCATTGAAGGTGCGCCTCATAATCCAGTGCGTCTTTTAGTGCGGAAAATACGGTACTAAACATCCATCCATTTTCCGATCCGCTTATCCTCACAACGGTCGCGGGGGGTGCTGGAGCCTACCCCAGCCATCTTCGGGAAGTAGGCGGGGGGACACCCCGAACCGGTTGCCAGCCAACTGCAGGGCACATATCAACGAACAACGGTTCGCGCTCACACTCGCACCTCGGGACAATTTAGAGTGTTCAATGAGCCTGCCGTGCATGTTTTCGGAATGTGGAAGGAAACCGGAGTACCCGGAGAAAACCCACGCAGGTATGGGGTGCGTAAAAATACGGAAACGCCACATCGGAAGACTGGAACCGGAATCGAAGCCTGCACCTTTGCACTGTGAGGTCGGCATGCTAACCAGTCGACCACCGTGCCACAATTAATAAGCAGCTGTAATCAGTTGTGGTTTAACGGTATTAAAACGTTTTCGATTGCATTTTGTCACTAACTCCCTTTCTGATTAAGACATCTGTCTTTGATCATTGTTCGTTACTTTTAATTCACAAGACAGATGTGTGTCAGTCCAGAACGCATGTGAGGATGGTGACAGGCAGCTGTCTTGTCAAGCTGCTGCAACATCCCCTCCAAATAACTTGACATACACCCGGTATGTGGGTGCTTTTGTGAACTATTACCATAGAAAAAAGGGTTCTGGTTAAAGGTGCCAGAGGCTATAGCATATACAGGCATCTTTCTTCCTGCTATGACTACTCATGTGATTTTTAAAACGCACCATCATGAGCTTCCTGTCGTGTCCCTGGATCTGAGTTCTCTTTGACATTGGTTGAGGTGGCTGCACGTCCTCTACCGATTGAAATATTCACAGTCAGAAATTAGAAAACTTATTTTTACGCTGACATGAAAGTAAAAGAAAATATGCTGATACATAAAGACATGCACACTGTAGCGGACAGAAAGACAGAGAGAGAAAGGAATAAATGGAAGGGGATGACTTTAAAAATATCTTAATTTACATACCAGTGACAACAGAGTCCAGTAATTGCGAGACTGTCTCACGATCCCTCGCTAACTAAAATGATATGATACGCACAATTCAAAACAACTTTAACCCAACTTTTCATTCATGAAATATGTCTATGAATCTGGAAATGTTCCATATTATACACTGATAAAAAATGTTAGAGGGTAAAATGATTGTCCTGACTGAAACGAGACTAAAATATTGAGTTTTTGCTGACTAAAAGTAGACGAATAAAATTGTTCTGTTGGATAAAAATAATGACTAAAATGCTCGACTCATAGTCAACTAAAACTTGACAAAATAAAACGTCATGAGGCTGACTCCATATGATTGAAAAATATAAGCGTGATTGAAATTGGGCTCAAAATTGACACCATGTAAAAATGGCTGCTTAAAATTAACACTACTTCCAACATATTTAATGTATTTACAAATGCACAGAAATTACTTTAAAAGGTCTTTAATATGGAACAAAATGGCTTATTTCCAACTCATGCCTGGCTGCAAGAAATTGGAAAACATAGTGAAAATATTATCGTAATAAATAAAATGGTACAGATTAGTCTGAACCTGTGATGATAAAACTCATGTTGGATACATGCTTCGGATGGTCTGTGAAATTAAGTAACTGGCATTAAAAACATAGTAAGACAGCTCGCGTTGGCCTGCAATCCGCCTCATTCATTCGTTATACAATAAAAAAAAAAATACATTTTTCTCGAGAAAAAATGGCTTCTGGCGAGACTAAACCAGCCTAGTTTAGTATACTGTAATAGAGTGAGCCGTAGCACTGGTTCATGTGTCTACTCATTTCAATTCTGTCGGTAAATTAACAATTTCTGTCTTATTTTTGCCGAAATATAAACCACAATAAATACAATGCGATGCGGCCTTGCCGTAACCGCCTGAGCGCAGGCCATATGCGCAATGTTGCTAAATGGCTGCGTTCTCTTTTTAGTTCGCCGTGTTTCTTCGTGTAGAAAAAAAAAAAACCTTTGTTGATGAAAAACTTCCCTCACTGCTTTCATTAACCAAATCCACACGGTCAAGGTCATTAGATTTCATTTGTCTACATAAAGCAGCTTTAAATTAAACTCGATTTACGGCCCATCGCTAACGGACACCTAGCCTGCAGCTAGCGACAAGTCCGTCGGCGCTCAGGACGAAGATTGTTCAGACGACAAGCTGGACGCTCGCATTCGCCGGTACCCGCCTCACGACAAAGAAGACTGAATGGAGGACTTAGTGTGGTATGAATTGATACTCATCTTCTTTGAGTGTGAGGATCTTAAGGCAAGGGTTGTCTTTTCCGTTTCTTTGTCTACATCATTTTCCATCATTTTTGTTTTCATGCACTCTTCAGCAGTTTTAATTACTGTCTTAGTTACTGCTTCACATGTATCGATTCTGCGTCTCATGGCATTGTCTGGATAGGTAATGCGTCTCAATTCTTCATAAGCAGTGCTTACATTTTTTGAAGCCTCTGTTACTTTGGTAACATGTTCATGCATTTGATCTGTTGAGCATCGTTCATGCAAGGCTTTCTTGGCATCTTTAGCGACAAACTTCCACTCCTCATAGCACACGCTGAATCGATGTGTTGCTTTACTTATCACCTCCCCGGAGCCCTCCTGCGCTCCTCATTAGCCACAATGGAGCAGTGGGAGAGTGATCAAAGGCCCTGGTGTGGACAGAGCGGCACGCAGCTGTCACACTGTCACCCCTCGGGGAGTTCAGTTATTACTGTTTGGTATATTGTCAAAGCTGTTCCATATTTATGTTTGTCCATTTTTCCTATTTCCAAGACGACAACTTCACTTCAAGAAGTTGACTGGCTCCCTTCTGCATCCACCATTTAACATTGCTGCCATTGAAACCTTAAAGGCCAAGTGTGAAGTAAAGTTGGCCAACCATGTTTTTGAGTAATATCAATGGCTGAACAATTATAAGCATATTTCTGTTATTTTTGTTCACGCAACCCTTCCAAATTCCTTGTTTAACCCTTAGCAACGCCCTTGACAACGAAAATGCTTTTCTTCGTCAATCTTCGTAAATCTTCAGAAATGATGTCACATGGAGAACTGCGAGGGAAGTCCGCCATTGAACAGCATTGTTGCATTGCTTGTTGGTAAGATCCCACGCGGTGTGTGGTGATGTATTGTTCGCAATCGACAGAAAAGGTGTACCAGTGGCCGAAGGATAGCAGGGCACGTAAATGGACATCTTTTGTTCGCACGAAGCGAATGAATTTCTCGCCATCATTGACGAGTGTTCTCTGCTATCTCCACTTCAAAGATGCCTGCTTTCTCAACCGGTCTGCTTATGATCAAGGATTTGCAAAAAAGTAAGTGTGATTTTTGGATAGATGATGATTTTGTCAAAGCGTGGCTGCCAACTCTTGTGGAATGAACAGGAGAAGCTCGCAACGTTCGTTTTCAGCTCGAGGCAAACCCCGATCGATGCTATTCATATCAGCGATGAGTAATAATGGCAGTCAGACAAATTGTTTTGGAAGCACATTTCAATAGTACAAGTCAAAAAATTATTTGCTAAAAAGAATATTCAAGTACCGAGGAGGCTAACTGCTTGAACATGAAGTCTGATTTTTTATTTTTTAATTTTTTAAACAATGTCATCAAAAACATCAAATTATGTGCACATGCCTTCATCTTCAAATCATAAAAATAATACCAGCCTATATCTTATCAATCTTGTCATCTCGATGGGTCTTGTCTCCATTCCATGTCAGGTCGTCTGGGCACATTGTTTGCATCCTGATTAGCGTTTGGCTCATACATGTAAGGTCCAACATGTAAAATTCCAACCTCCTCTTCTTCCTCCAACTCTTCAAAAGTTGGATATCCTCACTTGCACTCGATCTATTGCTTGTATCGCTGTTTGAATCATTGTTTAAAATGCTTTGCATCTCGGCCGTATGGAGGTCTGCCATCGCTGTTCTCCATGTGACGTAGCACTTCCGGGTTACTCCCCTTTCAGGCTCGAACTTCGGAAAATCGATTATTTTGTCAAATACTGTATACAACATATAATTTTTTTCATGCTTTATTTGGTGGACAATGTTTCAGTACTTTCATTGTGACCCAATTTGGCATTTCATGAAATTACTTCACACTTGGCCTTTAATGGAACACTCAAAATTTTATCTAGGTGTGAGTGTGAGCCCAGGTGGTTGTTCCTCTACGTGTGCCCTGCGATTGGCTGGCAACTATGTCAGGGTTGACCCCGCGTATTTCCTGAAGACAGCTGGGATAAGCTCCAGCATGCCTGCAACCCTTGTGAGGACAAATGGATGAGAAAATTGATGGATGAATGGAGCTTGCGGGATCCATGCTCGGATAATTCTGTTATGTTTCAGAACAGTCTGGAACAGGAGCGGATCCCACAAATGCAGACGAGGCTAACATGGAGTACAAAAAAAACGTTTACTTACAAAATATCAGGCCACGTATACACACGAGGTTTGTATCGGAACAAATACACATTCCTAAAATCAAATATTCCAGATTTTTATTTGTCGTGGCAACCAATTGAAAACAATCGTCGCGCCAGCTACAAGTGGCTCTTTCGACTTGTGAAGCTGAATACAATGTTTTCACCACCACTGCACAGGGGACAATGATGTATTTCACCGAATTGTTAAATGGCACGGATAATACAAGATACGGAAAATCAAGTTGAGCAAAAACCCAGTGAATAGACAGAAATCTAAACACAATTGATGTTAGATTTTACTTCATTCAGGAAGCACTTCACAATGGAAAGATAGATATTGCATATTGTGAATCGGAAAATATGGTTGCAGAGTTATTGAGAAAACCATCAGATAGGATTACTGTTGGATTCACCGGGCGCTTTAAGAGGGGCGGGGCTTCCACTGACAGGTGACCGTTCGCGCGACGTATAAAAAGCAGCATCGCATTTTGTTTCGTTCGTGAATTCACTCGCTTCGTCGTCGGCATGGCCCAATGGTAAGCTACGCGTGTGCTTTTCTTTACCAGATGTGTAAAGTTACCTTTTAGATTCGATCATGATCGGTTGCTTTGTTTGTCTGCTTTTCATTGTGTCCGTTGTGCTTTATGTTTGCCGCATCGCTATGCAATCACAGTCAGTTACCGTTCGCAATCGGCAATTTAAACAGCGTGGGCTAAAGTGTTGCTAGAACAGTGGTGTCTTTATTTGGCTCATTTTTGCATAGTTGTCATGTTTGTCCGGCTGCAATTTGATGTTTAAACGAAGTAAATTGGGTTGCAGCTGGGGTTAATCATGCCGGCGCTCCACTTTCGGGTTGGACCTTTGGGACTTGTAGTTCTTTTGTTCGATTCGACTTGATAGGTTTGTGTTGTATGGTTTCTTACGTTTATTAAAATAATGAAGAATGATGAAGATAATAATACATAGTGAAATCATGGTTGATTAAAGTATTTATTAAATGTATTGTTAAAATAAAAGTATTAATGTCAATTATGTACATATTTACATCGTGATGCAGAAAGCTATATTCATTTTTTTACTGCATTTTTGTGTGCTTTAGGTTATTACCTGCTTTTGCTACTACTTCTGTTACAACTACTACTACTTCTGCTGCAAAGTGCTCCACTAAATGATCAAAAAATACAGAACGAGTCATCCTTCCATGCTGACCGACGATCCCTATTCAGCAGTGGCCGATGCTGGTCTGCCAAAGAGGGGAAGGTCAATTTTGGCCGACATCATAAAATGTGTCCGTTTATTTATACGTGAATTCTACTCTCCGTTCCTTTTCAAGAAAATGATCTGTGACCCTGTTATACCAACAAGGCGTCTTTTCCAGGGACTTAATTAGTGTCCTACAACTACAGGAACTACAATAAAACCCACCAGAAATAAAAGATTAATTTGTCTCTAGTTGTTTACAACAAAGAGTGTCGCTAAGATGATTAGGAGAAGTCTCCAGCTCAACTCAGAACAGAATGCAAATTGAAAAATTGCTCACACGGATGCCTACACTAAAAGGTCGGTGATTGGCTCATTTCGATGTCAATCAAACTGGCACACAGGCTCAGACAGATCATCCAATCTAACACTCTGCTTGTTTCCAGCGTCCACCGTTTAAAGCAGGGGCCCCCAACCTTTTTTGCCCCACGGACCGGTTTATGTCAGACAATATTTTCAGGGACCGGCATTTAAGGTGTGGTGGAAATAATACAACAAAATAATATGGTAT